AAATGCTAAATGTTAAGAAACACAATATAGTTTACAGTAAAGTTCTGGCAGGTCATATTTCTTTGGTCGAGTGCTGAGCTTTGAGTAGGGAGCTGTTCATGTACCGAGGTTCCATTGTACCTTGTGAGGGTTTCGGGGCTCAACGCCCTGTGGCCCGGTCTGAGACCAGGCATGTTTAGGGTAGTATGATATGTAACCAGCCTTGCAGCTTAACCAGGCTGATAAATCACCCTAGCCAAGGTCAGGCTGTGGTGGCTCATTAGTAACGTCGGCTTACAACTGAAGGACCAAGGTTTGATCCTTGAGTGGGTGATGTTTCCTGGCCATGTTTCCTTACATCTGTTGCCCCTATACACCTAGCAGAAAATAAATGCTCTATTTTCTTCAGCTGTTATGGGTCATATCCTGGACAAGAGCACCAACGGACCCCCATTCAAGTAAGCCAAATTGACTGGATTTTTCTCGTGCAATCACCTATCTAGTTATTGGTAAAACGCAGTGTTGTTTGACAACATAAACTGACCTGACAGGTGGTGTGGTTATCTATTATTATTCTGGAATTGTTGGTTTCCCTTGTGCAGTTTGTGACTAAAGCTTTTTATTGGCCTTCTTTATTGTATTCGCAATGTTTTAACTTACAAACTATTTCTTCTGTAGAACACAATAAAATGTACAGTGGAGCCTTTTTTTTCACAAGTTGCACTTCATATTGGCATTTGTAAAAATTTAAGTTTGGATGTTTGTAATTTGGGACAATTACTTGAGAAGTATAGTGTCTGCAATCCAGAGGAGGAGTTTGGGATATTTGCTGTTTGGAGGGACATCTAAATGGACGAATCTGCGTGCCTCTGGCAAGACAGTGATAGTGTAAATGATGGGTCACCCCACCTCGGTGGGAGATGGCCAGTATGTTTATATATACCCATGGGGAAATGGACCAGAATTCTTCCTTCATAAGCCATGCTTGTGGTAAGAGGCGACTAAAATGCTGGGAGCAAGTGGGCTAGTAACCCCTTCTCCTGTATAAATTACTGGAGTTTACCTGGAGAGAGTTCCGGGGGGCGAGCCTGGACTGTGACCAGGCCTCATGGTGGATCAGAGCCTGATCAACCAGGCTGTTACTGCTGGCTGCATGCAATCCAACATATGAGCCACAGCTCGGCTGGTCAGATACCAACTTTAGGTGCTTGTCCAGTACCTGCTTGAAGACAGCCAGGGATCTATTGGTAATCCCCCTTATGTATGCTGGGAGGCAGTTGAACAGTCTCGGGCCCCTGACACATATTGTATTTCTTTTAATGTGCTAGTGACACCCCTGCTTTTCATTCAAATTCAAAGTTTATTCTCTATAAGGATTACAATGCTGAGTTTACAGAATTTGGTTATTGTGTGGTTTACATGTAGTAAAATAATAATTACAGAGTGTACCACTAGAACACCTAGCATGGCTAGGCATTTCGGGCAGACTTAAATTAAATCTTAAGTTTAAAATATTACAAAATTATGAGGTAAGTTGGTATTATGGCTAAGTGACTAAATACTAGTTTGTGAGTTTAGCAATGTGAATGCTTTTGTTTTGGCACTATACATAGTTTCAGTATTGAAGTATCACAGGCAACTTATGACTAGTTAAGATTCATTATTTTGAGATTGAGATTGATATTTCTGTTTATGGTCAAATGGGTGAGTGAGTGTAAGTTTTAAACCCACCAGGTGGTATTCGTGTAATTAGTTGACAGGGTGTATCAGGGAGATAAGATGTTTTCTGATGGTAGTTTTGAAGGTGATGAATGTGTCTGCAGTTTTAGAATTTTCAGGTAGGGTATTCCAGATTTTAGGGCCTTTGACATACATTGAATTTTTGTAAAGGTTTAGTCGGACACGGGGAATGTCATAGAGATGTTTGTGTCTGGTGTTGTGCCTGTGGGTTCTGTCGCAACTATCAAGAAAGCGTTTTAGGTCAAGGTTAATATTGGAATTTAAGGTCCTGTAGATGTAGATTGCACAGTAGTAAGTGTGGATGTACTGAACAGGGAGTAAGTTTAGATCTATGAAGAGTGGGGGGGTGTGTTGCCAGGGATGGGATTTAGTGATTATTCTTACTGCGGCTTTTTGTTGGGTTATTATTGGCTTTAGGTGTGTTGCTGCAGTTGAACCCCAAGCACAGATAGCATAGGTGAGGTATGGATATATAAGTGAATGGTATAGTGTGAGAAGGGCAGTTTGCGGCACGTAGTATCGTATCTTGGAGAGGATCCCAACCGTTTTGGATACTTTTTTGGTTATGTGTTGGATATGGGTGCTGAAGTTCAGGTTGTTGTCGAGGTATAGGCCTAGGAATTTGCCCTCATTATGCCTGGCAATTAGAGTGTTGTCGATCTTAATGTTAATTTGCGCATCTCCTGCTCTGCTGCCAAACATAATGTAGTAGGTTTTGTCAGTGTTAAGCGTAAGTTTATTGGCTGTCATCCAAGTCGATATTTTGATCAGCTCCTCATTAACAATGGTGTTGCGAGTGATATTCGTGTGCAAGTTCGGTACTAGTCCCTCTAGGATTTTCCAGGTGTATATAATCATGTATCTCTCCCGCCTGCATTCCAGGTAGTACAGGTTCAGGAACTTCAAGCACTCCCAGTAATTGAGGTGTTTTATCTCCGTTGTGTGCACCGTGAAGGTTCTCTGTACATTTTCTAGGTCAGCAATTTCACCTGCCTTGAAAGGTGCTGTTAGTGTGCAGCAATATTCCAGCCTAGATAGAACAAGCGATCTGAAGAGTGTCATCATGGGCTTGGCATCCCTAGTTTTGAAGGTTCTCATTATCCATCCTGTCATTTTTCTATCAGATGCGATTGATACAATGTTATGGTCCTTGAAGGTGAGATCCTCCGACATGATCACTCCCAGGTCTTTGACGTTGGTTTTTCGCTCTATTTTGTGGCCAGAATTTGTTTTGTAGTACTCTGATGAAGCTTTAATTTCCTCATGTTTACCATATCGGAGTAATTGAAATTTCTCATCGTTAAACTTCATATTGTTTTCTGCAGCCCATTGAAAGATTTGGTTGATGTCCGCCTGGAGCCTTGCAGTGTCTGCAATGGAAGACAGTGTCATGAAGATTCGGGTGTCATCTGCAAAGGAAGACACGGTGCTGTGGCTGACATCCTTGTCTATGTCAGATATGAGGATGAGAAACAAGATGGGAGCGAGTACTGTGCGTTGTGGAACAGAGCTTTTCACCATAGCCGCCTCAGACTTTACTCTGTTGACTACTACTCTTTGTGTTCTGTTTGTGAGGAAATTACCAACTTTTCCTGTTATTCCTTTTAGGCACGCATTTTGTGCACTATTACGCCATGGTCACACTTGTCGAAGGCTTTTGCAAAGTCTGTATATATTACATCTGCATTCTTTTTGTCTTCTAGTGCATCTAGGATCTTGTCGTAGTGATCCAGTAGTTGGGACAGACAGAAGCAACCTGCTCTAAACCCATAGATGGCGATCTTGCTTCTTTTAACCCTTTCAATGATTTTTATGATATGGGATGTTAGTGCTATCAGTCTGTAGTTCTTTGCTATTGCTTTACTGGCCCCTTTGTGGAGTGGGGCTATGTCTTGTTTTTAGTGACTGTGGGACGACCCCCATGTCCATGGTTCCTCTCCACAGGATGGTAAAAGCTCGTGATAGGGGCTTCTTGCAGTTCTTGATGAACATGGAGTTCCATGAGTCTGGCCCTGGGGCAGAGTGCATGGCCATGTCATTTATCGCCTGTTCGAAGTCATTTGGCGTCAGGATAACATCAGATAGGCCTGTGTTTACCAAATTCTGTGGCTCTCTCATGAAAAATTCATTTTGATCTTCGACTCTCAGTCTGGTTAATGGCTTGCTAAAAACTGAGTCATATTGGGACTTGAGTAGCTCACTTATTTCCTTGCTGTCGTCTGTGTAGGACCCATCTTGTTTAAGTAGGGGCCCAATACTGGATGTTGTTCTCGACTTTGATTTGACACAAGAAAAGAAATACTTTGGGTTTCTTTCGATTTCATTTATGGCTTTTAGTTCTTCCAGCGATTCCTGACTCCTATAAGATTCCTTTAGCTTAAGTTCGATGTTTGCTATTTCTCTGACCAGTGTCTCCCTACGCATTTCAGATATATTGGCCTCTTTTAGCCGCTCTGTTAGTCTTTTCCATCGCCTGTAAAGGGAGCGCCTGTCATTCTATTTTACATCTACTCCTTTTTCTTAAAGGAATAAACCTTGAGCATACATCGAGTGCCACAGAGTTAAGCTGTTTTAGGCGTAAGTTGGGGTCTGTGTTGCTTAATCTATCTTCCCAGGTTATATTGTTTAGGACTTGGTTTACTTGGTCCCACTTTATGTTCTTGTTATTGAAGTTGAATTTGATGAAGGCTCCCTCATGACTGATCTCATTTTGTCGGTCTGGGGCTCCGCGCATACATGTCTGAACCTCGATTATGTTGTGATCTGAGTATATTTTTTTGATATGGCGACATTTTGTATCAGATCATCACTGTTAGTGAAGATGAGGTCTAGTGTATTCTCCAGTTTAGTAGGCTCTATTATTTGCTAGTTTAAGTTGAATTTTGTGCAGAGATTTAAAAGCTCGTGTGTGTGTGAGTTCTCGTCAGAGCTGCCTCCTGGTGTTATCACTGCAACAACATTATTTGCTATTTTAAAAAGAGAAACTTTCATTTTTCTGTTTGGGCCACCCTAGAAGAAAATATATATTTTTTTTATTATTACATAATACGTACAACTCAGCGTCTGTCTCTCACAAGTCAGGGTGACTCAAAGAAGAAAACACATTCACCAACATTCACTCAGCTCCCATCTTTCCAGAAGTGTATATGTAATAGTCATTGAGAAAGTCAACATCATAATTTACTTTACTACATTTATATAATAAATGCTAGAAGATTTCAAAGCTTGCTAATGATGTTTGCGAAATCTAATTCTGTTTAATAATTCTACCCATGGCTTAGCTGGATCCTGGGGTGTCAAAGGAGTTCCTTGGATGGGTGATCGCAGCTAATCCTCTAGGGCAGATGCTGATCTCTCCCCTGCTCGGCTACTGGGGCAACAAAGCCAAGTCCAACAGGTAAAAACAAAATAAATGAAGGTAGGAGAGAATAATACAGTAATAGTCTTAACAAATATCACCAGTCTTTTACTCCAGTATTTTCTAACAAATAATACAGTTTCAGAGAAGACCACACTACAGCTGGTCTATTGTTCACCCTCTCCACTATGTGTCATCACATTAGATGAATCCAAACTCAGTTGTGTGCTGCTAATGGTGTGCATATCATAAACAGTGTAAGCACAGTCACAAGGAATCCAGGAATATGGTAGTCTTTAAGAGAAACTACAGGAATGTACGTCCTGTCTAGTAACAGGTTTTATTTACAAAATCTACATTTAAAACAGGTTTAGACAAAGGTTTGGTTCACCCTGGACCATTATTATGTTACAGCTTGATAATGGTCCACAATGGACTAAAGACATCTAAAATTATTTTCCTAAGTTTGGGTTATTTGTAAATTGTTGCAGCCATGGTATTGTGTTCTTAGAGTGTTTTTATGTCGGTTAAAGTCTAATGCATAGGGTGTCAAGCTATGGCCATTGTATTCTTGTCCCATATGTTTCCCTGCCATTTCTGACTCCAGCACAACAACAGTTTCTGCTTCAAGTCATACACTATCTCGGATTAGTTCATTTTCTAATTGAGCATAAAGCCTATAGACACATGAAGGTCATTAAAACTGCACATCACTTGTTCACCAATCGAAAATATTTTATTTCCAAATATCATACTGGAATTAGTAAACTCTAGGAAATATATATACTCCTCCACATGTATGTGCACTTTTGTTCTCAGTGCACACACATAAAAAGAAATATACTCATCACAATATATATACACTGATCTGAAGTTAGTATAATGTAAGATGATTCTTCTATAATTTATAGAAATGTTAATACTATATTACAGCTAAATAGACAATTATCTTCTGGGTTCTTTATTACCAAGGCTTTCCTCTGGCATTATAGCACCAATTGCTAATGTTTAATTGATGCATAAACATTTCCAATATAATTTCCCTTTTTGCATTTACAGTGTTTGAATGGGTCACAATGTATACAATGTATATTACCTGTTCATATAATTTTATATTGCTTATATTAGCGATATTAGCTAAATCGTAAATACACCTACCATCCGACTTATGACCTGCTTGACTTACGACCACTCGACTTACGACCGTGTTTTTTTTTTGCCAAATTTCTGGGAAATAAACAACTATTTGTGTTGTACACAGTGTTTATCCTAAACCTTACAGTATAAAATACAGTACTAACAGCATAAAAAGTAAAGTAAAACATGAAATACCAAAATAAAACAATAAAATAAAGTCATTACAAAAATGTGATGTTGATATTCAGTAGTAAAGTTCAACTTGCGTCCATTTCGACTTACGACTGGTTTCTCGGAACCGAACTCGGTCGTAAGTCGGATGGTAGGTGTATATTGCTTTATATTATTATTTGACTTTGTTATATTATTAGGTAGGATGTAACATTTATATATTATTCAGTGCTCATAGTTCGAGAGTATTAAGTAGCTGACAGCATTGTCTAACTACTGTAATTTTCACTCCACTTGTTTTGCTGCTGGCTCCTGTGTTGCTGGGCAGCAGCAGTCCATGGAGTCACGTGATCAGGGTGGGGTGATCACACCTCACCTGGAGTAGTCTGCCTGGCATGTGCTTGCTATTGTCTGTTTGATGTGCCTTCCAACAAGACAGCCTCTCCAACTCTTCCTTGATGGCCCTTGTTGGAAGATTGTCTCTGTCGCTTTCTTGTTGTTGGTTCTGTGTAACTATTCACAGAACATAGCCTAGACTTAGTGATTTTTGACATTGTACTGAGGTTGTCTCTCTCATAGACACTGAGAAACTCAGGTCCTGAGCTGTAGCTTCTGACCTAATTTGTACTGTACTGATATCTGTGTACTGTCACAGTCGGGGATTTTCTAATGCTAAACTTAGATTCAGTAGTATGGGAGTTTTGTGACTCCCACGATCGCACGTGCAAAGAAAATGATAGGATGGATAATGAGAACTTTCAAAACGAGAGAAGCCAAGCCCATGATGATCCTTTTCAAATCACTTGTTCTCTCTAGGCTGGAATACTGCTGTACATTAACATCTCCATTCAAAGCAGGTGAAATCGCAGATCTAGAGAGTGTACAGAGATCCTTTACTGCACGTATAAGTTCTGTCAAGCACCTTAACTACTGGGAACGCTTGGAAGCACTTGACTTGTACTCGTTGGAACGCAGGAGGGAGAGATATATCATAATCTACACTTGGAAAATCTTGGAAGGAATGGTCCCAAATCTGCACACAGAAATCACTCCCTACGAAAGTAAAAAAACTGGGCAGGCAATGCAAAATGCCCCCAATAAAAAGTAGGGGCGCCATTGGTACACTAAGGGAAAACACCATAAGTGTCCAGGGCCCAAAACTGTTCAACAGCCTCCCATCAAGCATTAGGGGAATTGCCAATAAACCCCTGGCTGCCTTCAAGAGAGAGCTGGACAGATACCTAAAGTCAGTGCCGGATCAGCCGGGCTGTGGCTCGTACGTTGGACTGCGTGCGGCCAGCAGTAACAGCCTAGTTGATCAGGCCCTGATCCATCGGGAGGCCTGGTCATGGACCGGGCCGCGGGGGCGTTGATCCCCGGAATAACCTCCAGGTAACCTCCAGGTAACCTCCAGGTAACCAGGTCCCTACTTAGTGTCATTATATTATCTCCATGTTCCTGATTCTGTATCTCTGTTGCTTGTTATATTGCTGTTCGGCTTATCAGTCGTTTTATTATTCAAGCTAGCTGTTCTGATTGCCAGATTGGTCAAGAAGTTAGTTTATGTGAGGACTTTTATTTCAGTCACTGGTAAGCTAGCCCGGTCTTGAGATATAGCAAACTATTTTAGAGACTTACATACACAGAAAACTTATTTATATATATATATATAAAATATATATATATATATATATAAAATATATTTTTTTTTTTTTTTTTTTTTTTCCAACAAGTCGGCTGTCTCCCACCGAGGCAGGGTGACCCAAAAAAAAAAGAAAAAAAATCCCCAAAAAGAAAAGACTTCATCATCATTCAACATTTTCACCACACTCGCACATTATCACTGTTTTTGCAGAGGTGCTCAGAATACAACAGTTTAGAAGCATACACATATAAAGATACACAACATTTTCCCTCCAAACTGCCAATATCCCAAACCCCTCCTTTAAAGTGCAGGCATTGTACTTCCCTTTTCCAGGACTCAAGTCCGACTATATGAAAATAACTGGTTTCCCTGAATCCCTTCACTAAATATTACCCTGCTCACACTCCAACAGATCGTCAGGTCCCAAGTACCATTCGTCCCCATTCACTCCTATCTAACACGCTCACGCTGCTTGCTGGAAGTCCAAGCCCTTTGCCCACAAAACCTCCTTTAAACCCCCTCTCCCCAAACCCTTTCGAGGACGACCCCTACCCCGCCTTCCTTCCCCATAATTTATATGCTTTCCATGTCTTCTACTTTGATCCATTCTCTTTTAAATGACCAAACCACCTAAACAACCCCCTCTTCTGCCCTCTGACTAATACTTTTATTACTCCCAAACACCTTTTCCTAATTTCCACACTCTGAATTTCTGTATAATATTTACACCACACATTGCCCTTAAACAGGACAACTCCACTGCCTCCAACCGTCTCCTCGCTGCTGCATTTTACCACCCAAGCTTCACACCCATAAAAGAGTGTTGGTTACTGCTATACTTTCATACTTTCCCCCTTCTTTGCCTCCATAGATAACATTTTTTGACTCCAAATATACCTCAACGCACCACTCACCTTTTTTCCCTCATCAATTCTATGATTAACCCCCCATCCTTCTAAATCCATCCACTGACACATCAACTCCCAAGTATCTGAAAACATTCACTTCTTCCATACTCCTCCTCCCCAATTTGATATCCAATTTTTCTTTATCAAAATCATTTGACACCCTCATCACCTTACTCTTTTCTATGTTCACTTCAACTTTCTTCCTTTACACACATTCCCCAAACTCATCCATTTAACCTTTGCAATTTTTTTTTAGAATCTCCCATAAGCACAGTATCATCAGCAAAAAGTAACTGTGTCAATTCCCATTTTGAATTTGATTCCCCAAAATTTAATTTCCCACCCCTGTCCCGAACACCCAAGCATTTACTTCCTTTACAACCCCATCTTTTAAAATATATTAAACAACCCTGGTGACATTACACATCCCTGTCTAAGACCTACTTTTCCGGGAAGTAGTCTCCTCTCTTCTACACTCTAAACCTGAGCCTCACTATCCTCATAAAAACTCTTTACAACATTTAATAACTTACCACCTATTCCATATACTTGCAACATCTGCCACATTGCTCCTCTTTTCACTCTATCATATCCCTTTTCTAAATCCATAAATGCAATAAAAACTTCCCTACCTTTATCTAAATACTGTTCACATATATGCTTCAATGTAAACATTTGATCTACACATCCCCTACCCACTCTGAAACCTCCTTGCTCATCCCCAATCCTACATTCGTCTTACCTCTAATTCTTTAAAAATTTTAACCCTACCGTAAAACTTTTCCTGGTTAACTCAGTCAATTTTTTCCTCTATAATTTTTACAGTCTCTTTTGTCCCCTTTCCCTTTATATAAAGGGACTATACATGCTCTCTGCCAATCCCTAGGTACCTTCCCCTCTTTCATACATTTATTAAACAAAAGTACCAACCACTCCAACACTATATCACCCCCTGCTTTTTAAAAATTTCTGTCATGATCCCATCAGTTCCAGCTGCTTTACCCCCTTTCATTTTACGTAATGCCTCACGTCCTCCCCCCCACTTACATTCTGCTCTTCTTCACTCCTAAAAGATGGTATACCTCCCTGACCAGTGCATGAAATTTTTGCCTCTGTTTCTTCCTTAACATTTAAAAAATTCCTCAAAATATTCTCGCCATCTACCTAATACCTCCATC